CCAGTGACTAATACAGTTCCTGTTTATTAATCGACTACTTGATTGACTAATAAAGCAGAGAAAAGCAATGGAGGGTAAAACCAATTTAAAGAAAGCTAGAAAGCGATCCAACAATCAGTCCAAGGGTATTTAAGAACCAAAAAACACAAGAACAAACAAAAGAAAAATGGAAAAGACATGCAAAGATTTGCAAGGATAGTACAATCACCTTCTCATCCAGAAAGATCCCTCTGAATTCCCTTTCTGCCTTTCCTCTGATTGATCAGGCTGACCAAACTTCATTCTGCTCCATTCTGGATTTTAACACCATCCCTGCCTCACCCTGGAATTTCCCTCAGCACCTGAGGTCTCCTCACTCTATCCCTCTGCAATGGGCCAGTTCCCCTTAGGGCCACCATTTTGGGGCCTTCATCCCTCTCCCAGGTGTGCTAATGACTTTTTCCAGCTTCAAGCACCATGGCTCCAGGCTTTGATCTTCACCTAGCAGTTCCCTACTCTTCACCTTTCAGCTCCCTTTTGTATGTTATTTTAGCCACTGGAATGTAAGTTCCTGGAAGATAAGGATTCTTTGTATTTGTATCCCAAGGTTTTAGTGCAATTCCTGGCATGTGCTAAGAGCTTAAAAAATACTTATTATCTTACCCTGACTTCCTCCTGGAAGCTTCATTTTAAGAAAGTACTTAGGCCAGCCACATCCATTCTTTCACTCCTTTCCTGGCTCCACTCCTGACCCTCCAGGCTTATTTCTCCTCCATGGTCCCCTTTTTCCCCCTAGTTCCTGCTTTTCAGCTTCCTTTTATGTGCTGTCCTCCCCTCCATTAAAACATAAGGTCCATGAGTACAAAGACTGCCTTTTTGCTTAGATCTGTATTTTCACTGCTTAGAACAGTGCCTGGCATATAGTGTGCATTTAATAACTGCTTGTTGACATACTTAGATGCTAACATCACAATCCCAGATGTGTTTACAGGAGAGGTAACCAAATTTGGGGAAAAATCTATATTGAACTGAGTGTAGCTAGAGGAGATCCATACTAGAGGCCACACAGTTGTGAATGCACTAAAGGATCAACTCACAAAGTATCTGAAAGGAGAGAAAGATACCAAAGGCATGGGGGAAAATATATCAGATACATTCATTCGAAAAACAGACCCACCAAGAGAATAACAATAAGAATAACTATATATCTATTTTCCCATGTATAAAAAATCTTTATAAGACTTATCTACCTATCGATGCTAACTGAAAGTATTAGCCAAAAAAACAGACAGGTTTTCATAAGTGATATTCTACAATAGACTAGATCTTAACCATCTTACAATGGAAAAAAAATAGCATCTCAGTTACAGAGGATTAAAAGGATAGCTTTGCTTCAGTGAGGACCCAGTCTGAGATCAGATTACATCAATGTGTATTGGCTCAAATTGGCTTATTGTGATTTCCTCCAGCTCCATTCAGCAGCACTTAGGAGAGGAGATGCACTGTGGGAGTAAGCCAAGGTTGGGTTTCACAAGGTGTACACATCAAAAGTACAGGGGTAATGAATTCAAGAAGACAGTGCAGAATTGAACTAATTATCAAGTTGAGCCTGGGAAAGGAAGAAAGTGATGATGGCTTCAGAGAATACCAAGGAATGGAAGGAAAATCAAACCAATTAGAACACAGATCCATTTGAATACTGGAAAGTTGTTAGATATTTTATAAACTTCCATACTGTATCTTTTTATATATATATACACAGTACTCATTTGGCTTTTATTATAACAAAGAAGAGCAGAAGCCCGTCATCCCTACTGAACTAGGAATCATTACAGACATAAGACAAAGCCCTAACATGGAATTAGCATGGGAGCACTTGACTCCATGTTAGATCTTTGTTTTGAGTTTCTTATTGCAAAATGCAGGCTTAATTTTTTTTAATTTTATTTTTAATGTATAGAATAAAACAAGCATTTCCATAATATATTACAATAAAAAGATAATTGAATATGAAACTGCAAATCTACTATGCACAACTTGCTATTCCTTTCAAATTTACAACAAAATTATCATGTAAATCTCTTTTTTTGTTTCGTTTTTTTCTCACTGTCACTCTCCCCTGACCTAGAGATGACTATCATTAGGTACAAATAGGACTGGACATAAATGTAAAATTATTCTATATATACGTCTATTCATCAGTTCTTTCTCTGGATGATTCAAAAAAATTCAAACAATTCAAAATTCAGGTTTAAACTGAAGAAAGTAAGGAAAACCATCAGACCATATAAGTATGACCTAAATAACATCCCTTAGGAATATGAAGTGGAAATGATAAATAGATTTAAGGGATGAAATCTGGTAGATAGAGTGCACAAAGAACTATGCACAGAGGTTCGCAATATTGTAGAGGAGGTAACAACAAAAAACACTCCAAAGAAAAAGAAGAGCAAGAAAGCAAAATGGCTGTCTGATGAGGATTTACAAATAACTGAGGAAAGAAGGAAAGGAAAAGGGAAAGGAAAAAGGAAAAGATATACCCAAATGAATGCAGAATTCTAGAGAACAGCAAAGAGAGATAACAAAGTTTTCTTTAATAAGTAACATGAAGAAATAAAGAAAACAATAAAATGAGAAAGAAAAAAAATAATTTCTTCAAGACAATTAGAGATATTTTCTCTTCAAGAAATATAGAGAGGTAATGAAAGAATGGGAATGATAAAAGACAAAAATGGTAGAGACTTAACAGAAGCAGGAGTGATTAAGAAGCAGGAAGAACATACAGAACAATACCAAAAAAGATCATTTTAAATTCTATAAGATGATGCTATTAAGAGTGTGGCATTCAATATGCCAGCAAATTAGGAAAAATCAGCAGTGGCCAGTGGATTGGAAAGGATCAGTTTATGTAACAACCCTAAAGGCCTAAAAAACAATTCTGAGGTACTACCTATTAGATTGGCTAATAGGACAGAAAAGGTAAACAACAAATGTTGGAGGGGATGTGGGAAAAATGAGATATTATTGCACTGTTGCTGGAGTTGTGAACTGATACAACCATTCTGTAAAGAAATTTGGAACTGTGCCCAAGGGGCTATAAAACCATACACACCATTTGACCTAGCAATACCACTACTAGGTCTGTATGCCAAAAGAGATTAAAAAAACAAACAGTAAAAGGATTTATATGTCAAAAAATATTTATAGCAGCTCTTTTCTGGGGGCAAAGAATTAGAAATTGAGGGGATGCCCATCAACTGAACAACTTACGGTATGTGATGATGATGGAATACAATTGTACTATAAGAAGTAATAAGGATGCTCTCAGAAAAACATGGAAAGACTTGCATGGGCTGATGCAAAGTGAAATGTACTGTGCACAAATTAACAGCAAAATTGTAAGATGATAAGTTGTGAATGACAGCTATTCTCAGCAAAAGAATAATCTATGACAACTCTGAAGGACTTATGATGAAAAATGCTAACCATCCCCAGAGAAAGAACTGATGGTGCCTTAATACAGATTGAAGCATGCTTTTTTAAAAAAAAATTTTTTGAGGTTTTGGGGGGTTTTTTATGTTTTCTTTCACAACATGATTATTATGGATATGTTTTGCATGACTACACATTAATAACCTATATTGAACTGCTTGCCTTCTCATGGAGGTGGGGTGGGGAGGGAGGAAGGGAGAGAATTTGAAACTCAAAGTTTTAAAAACTAATGTTGAAAATTGTTTTTACATGTTACTGGGGGGAAATTAAATACTAAATAAAAATAAAGTAAAAAAAAACCTTTGAAGTAAATATTCTTTTATAAAAGCTAATTACTGTTAGATCTGATAGGTGGTTAAACATAACTGAGGTGCAAGGAGCTTGGGCCAATGGTGAAGAAACTAACTAACCTAAATTCCCTTAACGGTACTGGAACCCCGGGGAAGGGGATGAAATCTAAGATCTAGCCTTCAGTAGGGGCCAGGGAAGTTATCCTTTATATATACATACATACATACATATGGATGTCAGGCTATTTGTATACTGTGTAAATATGCACATATACATACATATATGCATATGAGTCAATCTAGAAACAATAGCAAAAACATATACAGACTTACATATATACTATTTTGGGACTACAAATATTTAGAGAATTAGAATACAATAAAATTCATTAGCACTAACACCACATTATATATAGTTTAAGGTGTAATTTATATTTTAAAACTTTAAAATTCAAAAGTGGCAACCTCAAGCGACGGCAGTTCTGCTTAAAGACTAAAACAGGTACTGATTCAGCTAACTGGCTAACTTATCCATTGTGTCCCAAATGGTTTAAAACTGCACTAGGACTTTTGGAATGCCCTCATTCTAATCCGTGCCAGGAGTCAAGAAGATGCAGAAGGGAAACTTGCACCCGAGGAGCTCCCTGGGCTCCGGGCTCTCTCACACATAAAACGTCGCTGCTGTCCCTGAGTGTCCAGCCCCCCCTGCCCGGGCTGCTCGCGGAAGCCAGGGACGGAGGAGCGAGGGCCCTGGGGCCCCGCAGTGGGGGGCCTGGCACAGATCTCGCCTGCGACGCTGCCCACCTGTGTGACGTTGGGCAACTCACTTAACTTTCCTGGGCCCTAGTTTCCGTCTGTTAAACGAGGGGATTAGGTGGTCACATGGCCTCTGAGATCCCTTTACGTGCTAAATCTCTTGACTCTAGAACTAAGTTTATCAGACCTGAAGGGACTAAGAGAAAGCAGCCAAGGCGCGGTGCCTGGGGCAGTGTACGAGGCACGCCCGGGCCACACGTAAGGAGGAAACGCCCCCCTGCCCCCGGACAGGAAGTACTTCCCGAGGTGTGGGGGGCGGGGAAGGAAGGCAAGGGAGGGACAGGGTGGGTGACCACACGGGGCCTGCGCCACCACGCACTAGGCGCCGGCCCCACGCTTTTTCCTCCGCAGGAGGCGCTATGCGCGCACCGCCCTCCCTCGCGACCGCGCAGGCCCCGCCCCACACCCTCGCCACCCGGTCACCTGCAGCGGCTGCACTGCGGCCTTCTCAGGGCGTGCTCTACCGGCAGCTCCCAGAGCCCGTCTGCGCAGTTGCCGCTGTTCTCCGGGTCAGGGGAGGGGAGCGCCGCCGTTGCTGACTCCACGGCGCCCTCGCCCTCCCTGGCCGTCTCACGCGGTACGAGGGGCTCCGCTGCCTCCGCGCCAGACCCCGCCAACGCAGCCTCGGCCGAGCCACCAACCGCCGCTTCCGTCTCCATGACGTGCTCCGGCGGTCGGACCGCGGGACTGGCTCCGCCGGGTGGCGCCAAAGGGCCGGGGACAGCGCTCGGCCGCGCGGCCTCACGCGCGTCAGTCGCGGGGAGGCGGGTTCTTCGGGCCGCCCTTGTGCGGCCCCCGCCCGCCTCCCGGCCTCGCTCGGGGGGGAGCGGGAGTCGCGCCCCCGACGCCGGAGGACCTGGAGAGGAGAGCGGCCGGGCTGGTGGGAGCAAGCTAAAGTGAACTTAGCCCTCAGCTGTTCCTGTCTTAGTATTTTACAGATGAGGAAACTGAGGCTTACAGAAGTGACTTCCCCAAGGTCGCACAGGTAGCCATATAGTCAAGGTTGGATTCCAGGTACCCCGGGGCCAACTCCAGAGAGCAGTGCTCCTTGCCTTTCTACCTTTTCTTTGGCTCTCTAGCTCCAAATCCAGAACTCTTAGTATACCAGGATGGGGAACAAGTAGCTACGCTCCCTCTAGGAATTTAGGAAGAGGAGACGGATTTGCCGTAACCTATTGAATAGTCAGGCAAGCTGTAGCCCAGTGGTATGGTGGGGGGAAACCTCTGTACTCATTTCCAGGCCACAGGTGCTGTGAGTGAAGAAGTAACAAGCCTCTGCACCCAGGAAGTTTGGAAGAGTGTTGCTGTGGGCAGGGCTGTAGTCTTCTTGACTCTATTGATCACACTCTTGCTGGAGTCTATAATATATAGGGTTTTTTGTGATACTGCTCTCTCCTGATGCTATTTCTCTCAACCACTTCTCCCACGGGCATATATCCCGTGGGAGAATCTTGGATTCTTTTCTCACCTTTTTATAGGCTATCCCACTTGTTGTTCAGTTATAGCTAAGCATATGATTCCCAGATCTATATACCTAGCCCTAGTATCTCTTCTGAGATATAGTCATACATCTCAAACTGTGTGTTCTCAAACTCAGCATGTCCAAAACGATTTATCTTTCCTCAAAGCACTTTTTCCTTCTGAACTTCTATTACTGTCTGTTCATGACTATTCAACCAGTCACCTATGCCATCTTCAGTTTCTTATGGTACATACTCAGTCCTTTACCAAATCTTGTCTTTTCTGCCATCACAACATCTCTTAGGTGTCCCTTTCTTTCCAGTCACACAACCATAATACCAGTTTGTCACCTCTTCAAATAATGGTAGTAAAATGTAAGCTCCTTGAGGGAAGGAATTTTCATTTTTGTCTCTGTAGCTCTAGCACTTAAAACTACTGGAATAACCTTCTAACTGATGTCTCAACTTCAAGTTTTCCCCCGCTCAAATCTATCCTCCACTCAGCCGGCAAGGTGATTTTTCTCATGTGTGAGTTTAGCCATCTCAGATCAGTACTTGTCCCTCTGCCCGCCCTCCCCCCCAAAATCAGCTTCAGTGATTCCTCATTTTTTTTCCCCAAATACTCTGGCATTTTAAGCACTTCATAACATGGCTTCTCATTACCTTCCCAGTCTTCTCACACTCTCTAAAATCACCCTACACTGGCCTAGTTGCAGTTCCTCTAACATGATACTCATCCTTCTATCTTTGAACTGCTGGCCCCCTGTGCCTGGATTGTTCTGCCTTTTGGTTTACCTGGCTCCCTTCAAGACAGCTCAGATCACACCTTCTGCAGGAGACCTTTCTTGGGTCCCCCAGCTGCTAATGTCTTCCCTTTCAGATAATTTCCCTCTGCTCTATGTAACCTTTATGGACTAGTTATTTATGGGTCTCCTCACAATCCCCAATTAGAATGTGTATTCCTTAAGGGCAGACACTTTTTTGTTTTCCTTATATCCCCAGTGCTTAGCACAGTACCTAGCAAATAAGAAGTGTTTAATAAGTGCTTATTGAGGGGCTTACTGATGGATGCAGTTTTGGACTTGGCATCAGAAAAATGGCTTCAAATTGTAGTCACTTAATGATTGTAAAATTAGGGAAGGCTTTCAGGAAATTCCAACATTAAATCTATGATCCTACAACATTCAGATAGATCTGTGATCTTATCAGTGTGGATACAGTGTGATCCTTATGCTAAACCAGGGCTAGAAGCTGGGCTGAAATAAGAGATAATGTAGACTAAAGAGGATTCTAAGTATCCTTTCAATTATAGGTTGCCTGGCAAATTCTACATTTGCTTCCATACGCATTTAGTGTATAAGAAAGCCAGGTTTCACATTCCTGCAGCCATGAATATTTCCAGTTAATGTATGACACCCACACATTAGAATGACTTTTTTTGCCCCAGAAAGTGCCAAAATGCATTTTCAAATATTGGCAGTAAATGTAAGTTTTCTTGAGTTCAAGGCAAAAGTAGCCTTTATGGCTCCTTGTACATTTTTTTTTAGACTAGAACTATGATTTCATTGGTGTAGGGAGCATCAGTTAAGGAAACTCCCTCTACCAATACAGACTTGGAATTCCCTGAGACACAGAATTTAAATGACTTGTACTTGCCCATGATCACACAGTTGTCATGTTTTAGAGGAAAGGCTTGAACACAAGTCTTCATGACTGATCCTGGCTTTGTGTTAACTACCCTGCTGCTTTGTGCAATAGTAAATTTCAACAGAATGTAGTCTTCCTGACTACAGGTAACTCAGAAATGACCCCCATCTCTATAACAAGTCACATTTCCTAAGTGTTAAGGTGCTTCATTTTTTATGGTATTATTTGGTGTTTCACTTTGTTCCATGCCTGAATGTCTTCTTGAAGAAAGTATCCATGCTGTATAGGTGTAGGTTGTATATAGTTTACAGTCTTTGGTTTCTCCATCCTCAGTTTTTGAACTTTTTTTTTTTTTGCCATGTTCCTCCCTGTCGACTTTGCACTGAAATCCAACAAGTATCAAAGTATATGTTGATTTTATTTGGAGACTTTTATATGGAGATTTTATTTGGATTTTGAGGTCTTTATAGACTTCACCTCTTCATTCTTTGTAATAGACATTGGCACCTAAGTTTTGTGTTGAAATTGCATCTTGTTCCTCTTACTCCCCCCTTTCTAGTCAGTGTAGTAAGTTTACATGTAGCCAGTATAAAGAGGCAGAGGATAGGAAATAAGATTGCAAAGGAGAACCTGGAAGTCACATACAAACCATCCCAAAGATTAAAGTAGCATAATTTACAGATCATATCATATATAACCAAAATTCACATCCTGTTAATATGTGTGGAATCAGGGGAAGCCATCTGGGCACTGCTGTCAAGATTTTTGATCTGATTATATGTAAATCTGAAACACATTCCAGGCATCAACAGAACATCCAGAGTGCTGATAATTTTGAAATGGTGTAGACATGTCATTTTTAAAGTTTTACCAATAACTCTGATATGATTTGGATATATTAATGAACAAAGTGGCACAGGTAAGAATTAGTCTATTTCCCAAAAAAAACCCTATAAAAATGAGACCTCAAGCTCTTGCCCTCTTCAATCTTCAGTTGCCCACTTCAAGCTGTCTTCAGTCTTAGCTGGTCCATGCTGCCTAGTGCTCTCAACTCTAATCCATGGTTATGTAAATAATTGTCTGTGCTTCTCCCCCTCCCTATCCTTTTTCCCATGCTAGCTGCCTTTATCCCCTGTTCCCATATCGTCTGCCTCTGTACCTCTTGCTACTTGTCTCTGCCTTTATGTGATTTTTGCCTCTATACCCTCTGTGTTTAATTAAAGTGTGATTCCCTTTTTCCTGCTGCCAGTCATGATCTTTCTTAGCAAGAACCCAAAGAACCAGGTGTACCTGCCCCCATTTCACAATTTCATAAATTATTAATTCAGACTTCAGTTATCTTTATGGTAGTCTTTCTGCATATGCTCACAATGAGCACTATAATATTAGTATCCCATGAAATGACGTTCACCTTTGGATGAACAACAAAAATCAACTTGGCAAATTCCTTGACCTTTCCAAGAAGAACCTGGGAGTTTTATTTACCTGTTACTTCCTCATATCCTCCAACTTCACTTATATGAAAATTATCATGATTGGAGCCAGAGGACCTTAGTTTAATTCTTGACTCTGCCATTTGCTGTCTGGGTGACCTCGAGCAAGCCATTCTGGGATTAAATTTTCTCATATCATATGTAAAATGAGAGTCCAGTTAGACCTCCAAAGTGCCTTCCAGCTCTAATCTGTGAAGCTATGATAGAACAGTTCTTCAGGTTTTATGTCTTTTTGTTGGTTATAGACAATAACCAGCATTTAGAATACCAGCAAATAAGTTAATATTTCTGGACAGTCCAGAAGCTGCAGTTGTTAGTACTTCATGTCCTGCTTTTGAACACTGTACCACAGTCACTACAGAAGTAGAAGGGGACTGCCCAGGACCGAGAACCTTTTTTTATTTTTTCTTTGTTTTATGAGTTATAGCTAAAACATTTTTCACCCATGGCCAGCCTGGCGAGCATGAGTCTCTATCTTTAAATTGATCCTTGAAAACAAACACAGTCTGTCATTGGGACCAAATCCAAAGTCTTTCCATCACTGTAGAAGTTGTCAGAACTTGTAGTTGCTGTAATATCCTTTGAAAATCCAGGATCACCTACGCATTGGAGTAGGATTTTTATGTAGTATCTGTAATCAGTAATTTTAGGAGAAACATAAGAGTTTTTTTTAAATAAATGTTTATAAATGAATGTTTTACTTGTTATTTTAATGTATAGTAATGCAACAAAGAATGCCTATGTTGTCAAATTTAGTCCTGTTACTGTCTATATTAAAAAAATTGGCATCCTGTTCGCCTTTACTCCAATGATTGTTATACAATAGATATCTTAAGAATTTTCTTCCCTTTACTACCTCCAAATACAGATTGGCTTGTCATTTTTTTTTAAAGCAGTATTCAATTAATATGTGTACATATATATCAGATGTTTATGTATATATGTTGTGTGTATGTGTGTGTGTATACACATATAGTCTGAGAAACAGCATCAGTCAAGGTGACCTGAGTTTTCAGTTCCTGCCTCTGATACATACTGGCTGTGTGATTCAAAGTAATACTCCATAGCTATCTTTCTTTCACACATTCAGTGGAAATCCT